AAACAATCATCAGGCCGTTGGCGCCCTCTGCAGGCCTTTGTTGTAATGCGTAATGTACATCAGCTCTATTGTTTATAATACATTATGTATTTTAACAGTTTTGTTCAATAAAACCATATGATTTCTTGCTTTTGATACTTTATTTTAACTAATTATTATTGCCTCATTGCTATTATGTATTTTAAGTAATTTTAAAGGCTATTGTTCACTTACATCTATTTTTATTACCACAAAAAAAATGTATTATAATTATAGCGCCCTATGAAATCCGTTTTATTTCCAAATTCATTTTTTTTCCATTTTCATTGTAATGGTTAAATTAAATTTTATTAATCAAAAAGCCTGTCTAATGAATTGAGTCTTACAGTTTTATCTTTACCAAATTCTGTTTTCCATTATTTTCTGGATTCCATTTTAATGGTTCCATTACATTTTAATAATCAAAAGCATCTCCAATTAATTGATTTTATTTAAGTTTTTTTTTTTTTTCAGAAATACTGCACATTTAAATAAATTCTGGTAAATAATATTTCTGGTAAATACTCCTTTAAAAAGTGTTTTTTTGATTATAATTGTATTATTAGTAGAGTAGAACACGTGGATATGTTGTCATTCTTAAACTATAATACTGAACTCTATTTCAGTAATTTGGACTATGAGATGGACACTTGCTTCTTGCACTTTATGTTGCCCTTTACTTTTTTACTTTTGGATTTCATTTGGTTTAATGAAATATAGTTTAATAAACTATTTTTAAGTAAAATTGATTTTTTTTGGGGTGGGAAATTAATCGTTTAGATTAATCGATAAATTAGTTGATAGAATAATCGAAATATAAATAGTCGTTAGTGGCAGCCCTACACTCCAAATAAAGTTTAATTATAATTTTTATATCAGTAAGTCTCGAGCGATATGCCAGTAAATATATAAGTAGATTTTATTAACTTTAGTATGAAATAGATTTATTTTAAAAATATAACTTTTCCACTAGGGTTAGTTCATCCAAAAATGAAAACAATTTCATAATTTATTCACCCTCATGTTCTTCCAATCCTAGTGATCTTTAATAAAGCATCAAGAAGTACATGCAATCCAGGCATCATTTATTTTGGAGCTTTTATTAAACATTCTCAACCTCTTGTTAACATTTGTGTTTTCTTTCCTAGTCTTGGCGTCTAGTTTGGTGTTTAACCTGGCTGACGGTCAGTTTAGCAGTCGTGCTGATCTGGTAGATGCTCCTGGAAGTTCTCTGGGTCGCGGGGCTCAGGTTGCAGGACTGGGTAAGAATCAGACATTTTGGGGTGGAGCAGACGGACACCGACACAAACACTTAAAGTGCACCTATTATGGATTTTTGAAAATTACCACAGCAGTATAGCCCCAACCTTGTGTTGTGTACCCGTCATTTTAAGACTGCTGCAGTGTTTCCCACAGACTTGCACTCTATGTGTGGCGGGGCTTCACCCGTGGGATATATATACCGGTTCACATTTACAGCTCTGTGCATTTGCTGCGTAAAACCATCAGTAGATTTTCACGTTGGTCTGAATGAAAAATGCAAATTCATTCTTTGCCACTAGGTGCCGCTTTTGGAGCGGCAATGGTAGCGGTTTCCCCAGTAACGCTGTACACAAAGCAGCACTGCGCTCACAAACGCTGCTTTATCAGGCATTACAGGCAAGATGAAATGAAAATGAAAGCGACCAATTGGACCAATCACCGCAGAGTAGCGTCATGCAAAAGAGGGGTTTGGAAAAATGAATCGTTGAGCGAACCGTTTGGGAGTCGTTGAGCAAATAAGGTAAAAATAAATGCATAAGACAATGAAAGTGTTTTTTGACCTTGCATGCATGTCAACCTGTTGTTGGGGACTCCCAAAACCAAAATATGAACCTTTCATAAACCATAATAGGGGCACTTTAAAGGAATCATGGTGTTCATTTGTTTCTTTTAATGACAGTAGTCAATATAACAACTGAACAATTATTTGAACTGTACATTGAACTAAACAGCGGAACATTTCTTTTTATGACAATTATCCACAAAGTGTGTAGCTTTAAAGATATGGGATATGATAATATATATATATTATCAGATATTTTTGTCTGCTTTTCAGGTGGTTGATGCGACATATTTTCAGATGCGCGCTCTCTGTCCGCTGGTGGGAGTGTGCTCACCTGTCTGTGTGTGTGTGTGTGTGTGTGTGTGTGTGTGCGCGCGCATCGGGGTGCACTATACAGAGAGCAGAAGAGAATTGTAAACGCTCAACCATGTAGAGACAGAAATGTAAATAACATAAAGCTATTTAGTTTGTTTAATAAAATAATTATATAGGAAAGGTAACCTTAAATGACTTCTGTTGTGTGGCGCTATATAGAAAATAAAATTAAATACAATTAACTTGACCTGCTATTCATATAGAGAAAAATCAAGGTTTTGACCAAATTCATGTTTTTTTTTTTATATAATAAAATAAAAATGACGGTAACACTTAATATGAAGCCTGTATTTGTATTGCATTGTAAGTTATAGCCACAAATAGGTGTATTTATGTATTTACTGTATATATTATTTATAAGGCATTATGCATGCATTATAATGCATTAAGAATACCCTTATGATGCATTATAAATGCAGGCTTTATCTAGTGTTATAATGCATCATATTCAAATAGGTAAGTATTATAATGTATTGCAACTGTTGTTATGATTATTAATCAGATGATACAACATATTGTAAGGTTGTTTATAAAGCATTATGCATGCATTATAATGCATTAAAAATCCTCTTATAATGTATTATAAATACAGGCTTCAGAGAAAGTGTTGTGACAAAATGACAAAAGCGCACAATAAAATTATCCAAAATAAACTGAAAATATAAAGATAAAAGCTCATTCAAAATATTAATAAATACTGCAAAAAACACTGTCACGTTCAGGTTGTTATTTTTCCATTTTTTTATTTCTTTGATTTATAGTTGTTTTTTTGGCTGTTTCATTTTTCAAGCTTTCCTCTCATTTTAAAGTGTTATACGAGTACTGACGTTATGTTTTTATAATGACTGTTCCAGGGGCCTGTTATGATGCACTTAACAATTTAATCTGGACGTGCTCCAGCGACTACATGGACCAGTGGTGTAATCCTGGGAATCAGGCCTTCCATCATGTGTGCCAGCGACTGGGCGTCAGTCACGTCATCAGTCAGCCTAAAGGTACTGAAACTATATGCCTATGTAAACAGAAAGTACAAAACAGTTATCTTGAATTGATTTTTGTATGGTGTAAAATTGTACAACTAAACATTTTCAACTTTTGAAACATTGCACCATGTTGTCTTAAGATGATTAAAGTACTGCTGAGTGTACTGACAGACTAAAATATGTATATGTTGTATTTTTAAAACTATTTGTAATTACATATTTGTAACGATGAAGTTGCAATTTAGTAAATTTAAAATATATTAATTTTAAATAACACATTACAGTTAAAATGATAATTAAGTGCTTAACGTTTGCTTTAATTTGTTAGTCAAACCATCAAAATAAGTGTACTACTTTAAAGCACGACAAAGGATTATTAAAATGTGATCTAAAGTAAAACTTTTAATTCGACATTATTAAAAAATGTCACTTCTTAAAAGTGTACTTAAGTGTGTTAAGAAACATTCATGAAAGAGTCACTTAAGTGGCCTTTTATTTCATTAACATTAACAGTTTCATTGTTTTTTTAAATATACTTTTAAGATTAAGTACACTACAAGTGCACATTCAATACAATTAAGTGCACTTCTTTTTCACAAGGGTGAGCGCGTTTTAGGCCACTTGCTACACAAAGTAAAGAGTCACTTAAGTGGCCTTTTATGTCATTAACATTAACAGTTTCATTGTTTTTTTTAAATATACTTTTAAGATTAAGTACACTACAAGTGCACATTCAATACAATGAAGTGCACTTCTTTTTCACAAGGGTGAGCACGTTTTAGGCCACTTGCTACACAAAGTAAAGAGTCACTTAAGTGGCCTTTTATATCATTAACATTAACAGTTTCATTGTTTTTTTTAAATATACTTTTAAGATTAAGTATACTACAAGTGCACATTCAATACAATTAAGTGCACTTATTTTTCACAAGGGTGAGCGCGTTTTAGGCCACTTGCTACACAGTTTTTGTTTTGTTTTTTGTTTAGATGTGCTGACATTTTGTGCAGAAATGATCTGTATCATTTTCCCTATAATATGTTTTTGACTCTTAATGACAGAAGAGATGATAGGCACATCCAAAGTGATAAACCAGCTGCTCCATCATGTTGGCGCCATGTGCATCCATCAGCTCAACCTGCTGGAAGCCAGCAGTAATCTGCACCTGGGACCCTTCATAGGAAAGCAGCCCATGGAGGCCTGTCACTTCAGCTTCATATGTGACGTCATGGAGAAGGCCATGGTTAACGGAGACACCTGCATCATCCGCTGCATTCTGGTCGTCTTTCAGGTGGGGTTTCGCTAGAATATTATATGACTTTTAGTCAATTTTGATGAAGCTTTTCAGTAGTAGTGGTAACTTTGTTAACGGAAACTATGCAGAAAAAAAATATTATAAAAATACTTTGTTTTTTTTTTAAATCCAGGTTGTGTTCCAGTTTTTTAATCTAAATGCAGAGCAGAACCGAGACTGTGTGAAGCGTTCTGGACTGTTGCTGTGGCAGTTACTCATGGCTCCTCACGATCAGATAGAGCCGGAAATACAAAGAGAAGTGTGTCTCGCCATCAGGTGAGCCTTAAAATGAAGTCAGAAAATCCAAAAAGTCAAAGAATATCTCAATATCTGCAACAACTATAAACCATTTTTCTTTATTCTCATTAGCTCCGGTTTAAACACCTTGTACCAGAGCGAATCGGAGTTGAACAACCTGCTCAAATTTGTTTTCACAGAGGGTGAGAATTGCAAATAGACAGACATAGTACAGAAATCATACATAATTATAAGTCAAGTCAGCATTGAACAATTTCATATTGATGAGCAACATATGCCAATAATTTCTATGTTTTTTGTTTTTCTCTCTGTAGGGGAGAAGAACAGTGGTTTGTCTCAATTGCGTGATGTTATATTAAACAACCTTGCCAACCAGTTACAGAAGAACCGCTTTGGTAGTGAGGATGATGACCACTACAGGTAACAAGTTTCACTACTCTTCAGACGGAAAGTGCTTATGTTAAATTTAAATCGTTCACTTCTGTATTTTATTCTACTGCTAAAAATGTACATTAATTTTCTTGTGATCACAACCCAGGTTCTATCCTTGTCATCTCAACAAAAATGTGGTGTCATTCACCTTGATAACTGACTGTAAGGGCCCTATTTAAACGATGTAAGTGCATGGTCTAAAGCGCAAGGCGCAGGTGCACTTAGGGCTTGTCCAAATCCACTTTTGCTAGTTTAACGACGGGAAAAACCACGTCGTGGTCTAAAAGGGTTGTCCCTATTCTCTTAATGAGTAATGGGTGTGTTTTGGGCATAACGTGCAATAAACCAATCAGAGTCTCATCTCCCATTCCCTTTAAGAACCAGTTGCACTCGTGCCATGGCGAATTCGCTATTTACACGGCGGAATTTGCAAGCGCAAAGACAGAACGCGTCTCCGGAGATGAAACATGCATATCTGATACATGCAATGACTATCCATTATGACATGTAGGCATTTTTATATTTATGTAGCCTACACAATAATAATCTTTTACATTGCAATCCTTTAATTTTTAATATTTGGCATGTTTGTGTGCTGCTGTGCGTACCTGTGTGTGTAATAAGCAGAGCGCATTGTGGACCCGCCTATAGGCGCATATTACTAACACGCACTTTAAATAAAAAAAATACTGCACCATTGACTTTAGACCAGGTTTTAGTTGGTCAATGGCGCAGTCTATTTCAGATGCCTCAAAATAGCAATGCGCCTGAACACGCCTCGTTTTCAGACCAGCACGCCCAACAGATGGGCGCAAATGCATTTGCTATTTAAACAACGTGCCGCAGGACGTGAAAATGCTAACTGCGTCAGGCTGAAGCTAGCAAAAAACACTTGCGTCGTTCCTGGCGCCGCATTGCACTGAGTGTTTGATAGGGCCCTAATGTCTGTAGATGATTTTGTGGTTAATGTCTGTCATGTGCAAGCACTTTCTCCCATCTTCCCCTGCAGGCTGAAAGATGAACTGTTGCAGTGTATCTTGAAGACTGTAGTGCGTGAGTCGTGTCTGCTCATCACCAAATGTCAAACCGTTTCCAAGGAAGACCTTCAGAAGCTTCTCTCCACTGTACCTGTATGTGACTTCCACATAAATACATTTAAGAATTACTGTGTGGAGAAAATGTTCATTTTTACTTTTTATTGAACTTTTAAGTGAACTGAATTAATGTTAAAAGATGCAGTTCTACAAGCTATTAGCTTTCATAACCCTTGTGAAAAGATGTGCACTTTAGTATAGTTTAAAGAAGAGTACTGTTACTGAAATAATATACTTAAAAATACATGTATGAACTGAAGATAATGTTTTCAGACATTTAATTCCATGTTAAGTGCAATTAGATGAAAATATTTTGTAGTTTAAAATTAAATTAAATGCAGTTAGCTGAACATTAGAGTTTTTTTTGACCCACTTAACCCTTTAAGTAGGACTTAAGTAGTACATCTTCATATGTAATTTCATAATTACTTCTATTGTCTTTGAAATATGGTTAAAGTACTGCTGAATGTACTGACAAGGAATAATGTTAAACTAAAATATACTTTAATGTCATTTCTATGAAAACTTGTATGTCAGTTGTAATTTAATTAATTTAAAATTTATAAACTTTAAATGTAAAATTGAATAATACACTACAGTTTAGGGATGTTCATTTCGGTTATTTTTCCTAACCGACGCTCGTTAACTACACAAATAAAGGCAAACCTTTTACAATTCCAATTATCTTTAGGACTAAAAGGAGTAGTTGCTTCCACTGTTAGAAGGAAAAAACTCAAGTGATTGCGCCGGCGCTGCATGCGCGCACACAGTTAAGCTTTGCTACCTTGACAATGCAGTCTGTTCATTATCATAATAACATAGCCTACAGTCAGTCAAACATATGGAAAAACCACACTGCTCCGTTTAAATATTTAGTCAAATCTGTGTCGTTAAGCATTATCACGTACCGCCGTGATGTTATGCAAACCATGTTGTTTTACGTTGATATTGGAACGTGAGTGAAGTAGGCTACATGCTTCTTATATTTTTAATTCTTGTTCTTTTCTAAATATTGTTAATTGAAAGGCTTTGTTGTGGAGTGAGGGGAGCTAAAATAGCCTAGCTATATTTACAGTGTTTATTATATTGTTCGTAAACATTTCGTGTCGGCATTAGGCCTATTTCTGAATGAAATAATAAAATGCGACTTAGACACGACTTATGTTTTTTTTCCCTCTAAAAAACAAATTTTTTTTTTCAACCATGCAGCAAACCTTTTTAAATATTTTTATAAATTACTAAAAAATAAACGTTTTAAACCGTTTAACTGATTGTATTAATCGGTCAAAATTCTTCACGGTCGGTTAACGGTTAACCGGTTAAAATGAACATCCCTACTACAGTTAAAATTATATTCATGTACTTTACATGTGCTTTAGTATGTTAATACGTTTAGTACATCAAAATAAGTGCACTTCTTTAATGCACAACTAAGGATTATTAAAACAATGATGTAAAATTTACTTTAAATCTTTGCATTTGACATTATTACCAAGGTCACTTAAGAACAACCATGAAAGTCTCTCTTTAAGCCACTTAAGTGGCCTTTATGTCATTAATATATTATCTACAAGTACAGTTTTTTTTTTTAAATATGCTTTTAGGATTTGAAGTACACTACAAGTGCACATTCAGTACAGTTAAGTGCACCTCTTTTTCACAAGGGAAAATACATCCATAATTTGAAATAAATTGTCTTCTGTCTGTATGAATGCATACAGTTTGCTGTGTCTGATTAACTGACAGCACTTCCACATTAACAGGCAGCATCGCCAAGCTTGCGTTATTTAATGGCTGTGCAGAACCATTTGCTCAGCAACACCATCCTGCTCCACCCGGATGACATTGATGATAGTGACAGCTCCCTACAAGGGGAAACAATGAAGGTACAGGTAAACATCCCCTTTAAAAACCCTACGGTCTCTCTGATTGGTTAGTGTGGACTGCTGGTGGCTCCATCCAGGAAAGGAGGAACATACAGGAATGCATTGCATTGGTATTAAATCGGTTCATTATAGTGTGGTCTGTACTGTAGTGTGTACCAGATATTCAGCTTTAAGTAAAGGTTTGGCATTGCAGCATCTGCTTTTGTGTGTGTGTGCATGTTTCCCCAAAAAGTTGAGTTTTTCACAAAGTAATTCAATATATTTAATGTCTATTTTCTTTATTATTTGGCAAATTGTCATGTAATAAGCACGGGTAATGTAGGTTTCTTTAGTAGGATAGGATGTTCACTTTGTTTTCTTCTCATTAACACATATTAGCAGTGTTCTAAAACCTAGTGAGCTGCCTTGTTGTCTACATAGACAGCTGCCTTCTAAGGCAGCATCCTAACCATGTTAGAACATTGTCAGTGACTGATTTGAGATGCAGTATATGGGCAGCGTCTCTCATAATGGGCACTCACATGTGCCACAAAAATAGCACTAAATACTTCTAAGATAACAACACAGCAATTTAAGAACAAATACTGCATATATAGATATTGGGTTAAATTCAGTATTTTTCATTAGATTGAACTATATTTATCAATATATCATAAATTGACTGATGTTTTGATGGATTTATTTTTAGTTTTGGCTTTGTGTTTAAGCTGGAAATATGTCAAAATTTTGAAGAGAACTGTGCATTATAATGCTAACCCAATTCACAGGGCAGCGCACTAAGATTTAAAACAGAGCTATTGTACTTTTCCTTCCAAGCTTAATTACTGTTTGTGCACTTGTAGTGTACTACAAATCTTAAGAGTGTATTTTAAGAAAACATACTTGCAGATAATATAATATTAATGAAATAAAAGGACACTTAACAGAACCGTTCATGACTTAAAACGCTTAAGTACAAGTTTTACTTAAAAGTATGTTTTAAATAATTATGTTTTAATCTTTTGTCATGCATTGAAGAAGTACACTTATTTTGATGTGTTGACTAACAAATCACATGAAAAGTACTGGAGTATAATTATAACTGTTGTGTGTTGTTCTATATTACATTTAAGTTAATATATTTTAAATGCACTGATTTGCATCTTCATCATTGCAAATGTTTTAATTGCAAATATATTTAAGTACACTTTAGTCATATTTTAAAAATAGAAGTAGTTATGAAATTACATATAAGATGTAATTAAGTCCTAATTAATTGGGTCGTAAAGCACTATAATGTTTAGATAATTGCATTTAATATAAATTTAAACTATAATACATTTTCATGTTATTGCACTTAATTTTCAATTAAGTGTGAAAACATTGCATTAACCCCTGGTTTCACAGACAAGGTTTAAGCCTAGTCCCAGACTAAACTGTAAATCTGAGCTGTTTCAACTGAAAGAAACTTGCACTGATTGATCTTAAATATATATCAATGCCTTTGTTTTGTCTCAAGAGGGACACCAGTAATGTTTTTTGTAAGGCACATTTATAAAAATTACTTAAATGTCCTAATTGAACTATGGCCTAATCCTGGTTTATTCTAAGCCCTGTCTGTGAAACCAGGCCTAGGTGTATTCTTTTAAATTATATTGTTTCTATACTAAGTACTCTTTGTTTTTTTTTTTAAGAAGAAGCTTGCACTGATTGATCTTAAATATATATCAATGCCTTTGTTTTGTCTCAAGAGGGACACCAGTAATGTTTTTTGTAAGGCACATTTATAAAAATTACTTAAATGTCCTAATTGAACTATGGCCTAATCCTGGTTTATTCTAAGCCCTGTCTGTGAAACCAGGCCTAGGTGTATTCTTTTAAATTATATTGTTTCTATACTAAGTACTCTTTGTTTTTTTTTTTAAGTATGCTAGAGTGTACTTGAGTTCTGTAGCAGCTGTAGATGTTCTCTGAGAAATGTGTGTGTTGAATGAACGTGTTCCCGTCAGGAGCTGCAGACCAGCATCCTATCACTAGCCTCTAAGATCCTGGTTGGATGTGATGAGGTTCTGGAGACGCTTCAGCAAGTCACCAGCTCCCTCATCAACAGCAGCATCAGCGATCGAGAGGCCAGGTGCATTCAGATATCAGCAAAACACTTCTTTGGTGATGCTTTATTTGTATTTGTACTAGGGCTGTCAGTTTAACGCGTTAACTTAATTAATTAGTTATGAAAAAATAATGTGATTAAAATATTTTAATGCAGTTAACACACTGGCCCCGCCCCCAGACCTGTGCGTCATCTTACATTTCATACAGCTGACTGTTGACAAATGTGACCACAAAAGCAGTCTTAAGTCGCTGGGGTATATTTGTAGCAATAGCCAAAAATACATTGTATGGGTCAAAATTATAGATTTTTCTCTTATGCCAAAAATCATTAGAATATTAAGTAAAGATCATGTTCCATGAAGATATTTTATAAATTTCCTACCGTAAATATATCAAAACTTCATTTTTGATTAGTAATATGCATTGCTAAGAACTTAATTTGGACAACTTTAAAGATGATTTTCTCAATATTTAGATTTTTTTTTTTTTACACCCTCAGATTCCAGATTTTCAAATAGTTGTATCTCGGCCAAATATTGTCCTATCCTAACAAACCATACATCAATGGAAAGCTTATTTATTCAGCTTTCAGATGATGTATAAATCTCAATTTCGTAAAATTGACACTTAAGACTGTTTTTGTGGTCCAGGGTCACAAATATGATGCAGGGCAACAACTCCTTAAATGCAGTTATGCCCTAAAATTCAAGATATTGGGGCAAAAATGCTCCTGTATGAGTTTTGTCTCATATTTATATTATATCATAAGCAATATCACACGAGTGCCGTTTATGTCTGAATACCACGAGTGCAAATGTGATTTTATACAACAATTCAGTAAATAGGAAGTTAATATTGTGTTATATTTTAAACACAATATTGTCTGTTTTTGCTCAGTTTTGCCAACAAAAATATTCCCTATAAAGCCACAGCAGAACTGTTGTGCGTCTCCGAGGAAGACAGCAGTGTTTAGTTTTTGAATGAATCCACGTTTTGAACGAATCGAGTGAATCAATGATTCAAATGCCCAGAGAGCCATTTACTTAATTCCTGAATGAATCAGATGTTTGAACAAATCGAATGAATGACTCATAAAGACATTTACCGCCACCTGCTGGCAGTATTAGTTTAAAAAGGGGGAAAAGATTTAAAGAGATAGTTCACCCCAAAAAATTTAAGTATGTCGTCATTTACTCAAACCTGAATGACTTAGGCTACTTTTAGGGATGCACCGATACTGGTATCGGTATCGGGCCCGATACTGAGCTCCTGTACTCGTACTCGTACTGGTTAAAATGCCCCGATACCAAACGCCGATACCACACAGCATGTGTTAAGCGCCTTATTCAGACAAAGAAACACCGACAACAGAACAACAGACAGCAGAATGGAGTTAAGGCTGTCTACTACGAAGTATATATATGCAATGAATATAACGTTAAACTTTAAGTTTTAACGCCTGTATAGCTGATGTGCGCGAGCTGATAAACAAAGCACGCTGAGTGGATTGAGCGCGCGGCGGCGCAGATGCGCGAGCTTGTCCAGTGAATATACCTTTCTCACAGACATCACTGGAAAGTTTGTAGTTCGGGCAGATATGTAAAAAACAAATAAGTAAAACAATGCACAAGTTACTTAATGGTAGGGAGAGAGAGAGAGCGAGAGAGAGAGAGAGAGCGAGTGCGAGTGCGGGCGCAATTCTGTTGTGTGATCTTTGATGTTCACTCACTTAGCACGCGCATCATTTGGATTAAAACTAAATCGTAAAAATAAAACCATTCATAGGTGCATTCACTATAAACATCATTTATTTTTACCCTTAGTCATACACGACTTTCTGATTTTTTTACTAGTGGGTGCAGGACACTATAGTTCATTTATGTAAGTGAGGATAGCAAAATAAAGTAAACTCTGACAAATCATACCCAAAAATTCTTCATACAGTGGATTACCAGTAAAATTGATACAGATTTGGGACCAAAAATTATTCAGACCGAGTTTGGGAAAAAACATTGAAGTTGAGATACATTCCATAGTTTATGTTAGGCCGTTGTAGCCTAAATGTTTGTGTAATAAATTTGATGTTGAATCAAATGAAATAGCCTATTTCTTTCTATTTGTAATGTCTACTTAATACTTTCTTATTTAACACAAAAATAGTTTTAAATAATCTTTACGGAGTATTTTCACAGCCAAATGTAATTTGCGATTAATTCGATTAATTCATCGACACATCATGTAATTAATTAGTTTACAAATTTTGACTGACAGGCCTAGTTTGTACTGAAGCACTTTCCTTTACTTATCATCTTCTCGACACTGTTTTTTTTAATGCCAAGACTGAGAGGACTTGAACAGGTGACGAAGGCCACGATGTTGGGTCACTTGTTGCCAGTCCTGTTGACGTCACTGATGCACCCAAACCTACAAACCCTCACACTCGCTGACGCTCTCATGCCACAGCTGGTCCAGCTGGTCCTCTATACTAGTCAGGTGTGTGTGTGTGACTTATAATATAATATACTACAATAATCAAGTTGTAAATATTATGATAATGGATGGAAAGGACAGGTGATATACAGTGTATAAAAATACATTTCTCTCAGTATTTCTCATCCTTTGGACAATATTTGCTATACATAGCATCTCAATGTTTACGTTTTTGCCTTCAAATGGCTTTAAAGTACATATTATATTAAAAAAAAAGGTCTACTAGTAGTCATTAATTTGAAGCATTAGTCGACGTTTATTAATAAACAATTTAAAAAATAATAATGACCCTTTAATTGCCTTCAGAGCCTAATAAGCACTCAAGCGCACACATAAAGCTTGCCACAGCGCACCGGCAGAAGTAATGATTATAAATGTGTCAGGGAAAAACAGTAAGGAGGCTGCATTAACATTTTAATAATTCATTGATAAACTAGTGTTTTTTTTGTTTTCAGTTTAAGAGATGAATTTGGCGACACTGACTCGTCATCTCCGCAGTAGTGATGCGCCTGTATGCATGTTTCATATGGATTATGTAATCTGAGAATATTTGTTTTCCATTTGAATTGGTTCATTTGAAAGTAAACATTTCACATCTCTATAGATATATTTTTCATGTCTGTAATGTAAGCTTACACGGAGTTTCGCGCTCAAGTTCACAGAGACCGAGACGGCAGAAAGCGCATCCTGTTTACTTCCATTATTTTACAAAAGCACAATGTTTTGTTGTTATTGTGAGTGCACACAAATAAACGTAGAGTTTACATAGTCGAAAGATGTATTACTCTTATCTGTATGAGCAAAAATGAGGGAGTATTTTAAGAGCAAGTGAGCGCACCGGCGCCTCCATCTGTCCTGCAGTGATCACTACTGTACATCTTCCACACACTGAATAGCGCACATTTTTTAGGTTAACATTTAATTGAGCGGCCATGTAAAGTTGCTAATACTTACATATTTCAGATGATAAGCCATATTTGAGGACTGATGAATGATAGTCGAGCATTTGTATGTCCTGCCCGTTGTACTACCACATAGACCAGCCGTTAACGATCTGCGTGACCAAAGTGGATTTTTTTTTCTTCTGCGACTAATAAAATTTTGGTAGACTGTTAGGGGACAGCCCTAAAAAAAAAAATATATATATATATTATAGAAACAGGGTTTAAACAATTTAATTGTCAAATACAAAGCTAATCAATCACCAGAATATTCGCAGTGATATATAATAGTAAAATAATAGTAAATATATATTCACCAATCCCTATTTAGTGTACACAGATGCCTCATGTTTTTGAAAGAAGTCTCTTTTCTCACCAAGGTTGCATTTATTTGATCAAATATAAAGTAAAATTGTGAAACATTTTACAATTAAAAATATGTTTTTTTGTGTGAATATATAGTAAAATGTAATTTATTTCTGTGATGCAAAGCTGAATTTTCAGCATCATTACTCCAGTCTTCAGAGTCACATGATCTTCAGAAATCATTCTAATATGCTGATTTGCTGCTCAAGAAACATTTCTGATTATTATCAGTCCTGAAAATAGTTGTACTGGTAAATATTTTTGTGAAAACCTTGATAATTTTGTTTTTCATTTTCAATCTTTACTGTTACCTTTGATCAATTTAATTTAATGATCATTAAAAATCTTACTGACCCTAAACAGTGTACATTAAAATTAGCTAAATCTTGGACTTTCCATGAATGTGTTTTTTACATTTTTAAATTAAAATAATTAATTATAAGCCGTTGATATTGTTAAGGTTGACTGCTTTGTGTCTCTGTCTATCCAACAGACTGCTTTGCTGTTAAAGACACATTCACCATTATTTGTTGAGAATTTGCCGCTAAATCAAAGCCCCAATCCACCCTCGTTAAATGACAGGTAAATTATTTTAAATTTTTCTGAACTTTTTCAGTTTCGTAGTTTTTTTTTTTTATTATTATGTGAAAAGAAACATGTTGGACAAAAGCATCTAGATTATTCAAACACAAAATGAAGTTGTTTTTATTTTAGTTTCCAGATTCTGGAAGAGAGAGAGGAGCCGGGCTTTCTGACCGGCCTGAAGATCCCTGCCCCATGGGCTGCTGGGAAAACCGTGGAAACTGTTCATCCGGTGCGAGATAACTTCAAGTTTAAAGAAACAGTGCACATCCCTGGAGCTCGGTGTCTCTACCTCCGCTTCGACCCTCGCTGCTCCTCACAATACGACTATGACAAGGTTTCACGTTTCTGCTGTTCTCCTTCACAGTGGAATAAAAGTGTTACATTGAATATTCATGCTCATAACCTCTCTTGTTATTCAGCTGGTGATTTACGCTGGGCCAAACACAAATAGTCGTAAGGTGAGTGAGTATGGAGGAAACACCATGGGTTACGGTAGCCGCAGCGTCTTAGGAACCGGATGGCCCAAAGATCTGGTCAAGGTGAGGAACACACACACCTTTTTCATCAGATGGCACACGTTCAGTGGTCAAGAATAAAGGCAGGCGGAATAACAACATAAAATATATATATATATAAAAGTTATAATATATATATTTTTTCATTTTTCATATTTGATACAAGGCTTCTTTAATGTCATTTATTTAAAATATCCGCCTCTTTATACACTGTTTACTACAATGTCAATGGCAGTAATATGTCTTTTATATTTAAATAGATAAAAATTGAACTTTTATTGATTAAAAAAACTTTTTTGTTAGATTTTGTGTTTGTTAAAAGCCTGATGAATCCAATGTGCAACAAGAAAATATATATTTTTTTTAAAGTACAAAAACACATTTTGTCAGATTTAAAAAAATAATGGTGTGCTTAAAATAAAAATATCAAAATAAATGCTTAAAATAAATGTATCAGGACACCAGAGTGCACATTCAAAAATGTTTAATAGATCGATATCCTTAAGATGTTTATGCAACCTGGACATTAGGCAATAAAAAATGTATCATGTAAATACGTAATAGGTTTTATACAGTATATGAAGTATATGCAATGCTTAATGTAAACATCTGTTCATTAAGCCTTTTGCTTACTCCATCTTGATATGTATTGCTTTAAATTTTTCTACCTTAATTCTAGAGGTCGACCGATGTATCGGTTTTGCCGATTAATCGGCACCGATAGTTGATTGCTGGAACTATCGTTATCGGCAAAATTCCATGTTGATAGTTTTTCCCGGTTTCCGTTTTTTTTCCCATTGCATCTGTTGCTGGAGCGGCTGAGAATGGTCCGCTGTCATTATACAGTGCGAGAGCGGCCTCTAGAGACGAAATCACTGACAGCACGTGTTGTTTGTTTTGGCACGTGAGGCTTCAAATGCTATTTAAATACAGCCGAGAGAAAATCCTGCCGCGGAACAGAGCGCCATTCACGTAGTTTTCCATTAAATTACATTATATTCATCCCAAATAGTTATTAATGTGCATAATAACTTCACCCTAGGCTGTAACATTGTGTATTGTGCATTTTTCAGCAAAACGTTTGTCTTTCTGTGGCTCTAATAAAGTATGCTTCATTTATTGAGCTATATGCTTCTGTTTTTTTTAAACACTGAACTGCAAACTCATCTATGCCACATTGTTCATTCTTGAAGTGAACTTTTGTCCATTTGGTGATTAAATAAACAGTTTTAGACCGCCGTTTGAAGTGAACGCGACGCATCCGGTGTGTGTGATAACCTGCGACTCGAGTATGTATTAGACACGACGCTGCGCTTTTCCCCGGTGTGTCGCCCATATTTTGATTAGCTAATCAAGTGTTCTAAAATAGAAGCAAATAAAGTGTTAGAGTATACATAAAATATCAATATGTATTGTATCAATGCTATGGCCTTTGTGTAGATTAAATTAATGTTGGCCATCTTTAAGCATGACTGTTGATATGAAATGGTAACACTTTACAATAAGAGTCCATTTGTAACATTAACATTAATGAAAGCTGTATAAGTATTGTTCCTAGTTAGAGTTTGTTCATTTCAACATTTAGGCTAATATTACATTTTTAAAATTTTGTTTCTTTTGTTAACATTAGTTAATAAACTATGAACGTTAATGATCAATTTAATAATTAATATTAATATTTGATTCATTTAAAAATTATGGTTCTTTTTTTTTTTTTAAATAATAAAGCACTATTTTAGTTTTCGTTCAGTATCCATTTTAAAAACTATCAGTTGATTTATCGGTATCAGCCAGTGTGGACCAACCTAGCTATCGGTATCGGTAAAATACACTATCGGTTGACCTCTACTTATTTAATTTTTCTAGATTTATACGACTGTAAGTTTTTATTTAATTCTACTTGTATACACCAGAGAATAGAGAAAAATAATTAAATTGAATTAAATGTAAGTACCTAGTGCTTCTTGAAATGATACCAAATTCCTTGTGTGTTTGTGCACACTTGGCAAATAAAGCACATTCTGAATAATTTAAACAATCTACAGATATCACTGCTTCTAATCTGATGTATTTTCAGGTGGAAGGAGATACTGTGACGTTCTCTTTTGAGATGAGAAGCGGACGCGAGCACAACACCCCAGATAAAGCCATGTGGGGTTTCTCATGCACTGTCCGAGCGCAGGTACCCACTCAAGGCTTTACACTAGCTTTTAAATACATCCCAATCATAAAATGTACAGTGAAAAATTTAAATACTTTTAAAATGATTTATTTTGTTTAAAAATGTAAAAATACTTCTTTGGTTCCTAACATATGGTCAACTGCAAATAATGTAAAAATATGCATATTTGTATTGTTACACTATATATTTAAACATGTATTTATCAATTTTAAAATAATCTGCAACATTTTACAATAAGGTCCCATTTGTTAAGATTAGTTAATGCTTTAGCTAACACTGACCACTATATTTTACCACTATAATATATTTCATTTTGTAGTTTTGTGAACATCAAAAACACACTATGGAATTTGGGGCTCGGCAAAAGCAGTAAACTGAATTTTAAAGTGAAAGTAAAAAAATAAATCAGGACTATTGAGTAACTACATTTTTTAAATCTAATTAATTACACCATGTGCCAATTAATTAATTAAATGGCAAATTAATCGCACATCAATTTTGGATAAATTACCCTTCAAAAGATCTTTTTAAGCCATTATTGTGCTTTAAAGCATCAAAGCATTGAATAAATAAGTAGCATTAGAAAGAAATGTTTTTGATTCAACATTGCATAAATAATGATAATAAATGGGTATTCATGAGTTTTAAAAAAAATTAGTCATTCAGTCATTCAGTCATTCATTCAACCGATTTGTTCAAATGGCAGATTCATTCAGAATCAAACCAATGACTGTCTTTATGAATGAGTCACTGAATCATTCACTCACTCGAGTCCGCTGATTCATTCAGTAAGGAGAAAGTGCTGTGTGTTGCACAAAGATGCAACATTTCCACTGTGGCTTTATAAAAAAATTTTTTTTAGCTTTTTTTTTTTTGTTGGTAAAATTGAGCAAAACAGATAATATTGACAATATTGTGTCTAAAATGTATCACAATGTGTTGCATTATTGTTTATTGAACTGTTGAATAAAATTAATATCACATTTGCAATCATGTAGATGTTTGGAGAAAAAACAGCATGTGATATTGCTAAACTGATTATATAAATATAAAATGAAAACCCATATGCAGGCATTTTTTTTTTTTGCCTCATACCTTGAATTTTAGATGCGTATAGCTGCATTCTAAAAGGCTTCATCACACAGTCAGTCAGTTAGTCAGTCGTCCTGCATCATGTTCATCAGCAACTGCATCATTGTAAAAGGATGAACAGATCTGGGCAGGTGCATTAAATGCATTAATCATTTTGGCACGTTATAATTGCACCAAATTAACGTGTAAAATCGGCAAGTCTAATTAAAATGAAAATAAACTACAAATGGGCAAATGTTTCACCTTGCTTGTTTGCACTGATTCTGTTGCTTGTTCAGGAGTCGTCTGAGGATGTGTCCGGCGGGCTGCCCTTCCTGGCTGATCTAGCGCTGGGTTTATCTGTGCTGGCCTGCGCCATGTTACGCATCCTCTATAACGGCCCTGATATCACACGAGAGGAGGAGGCCTGCCACGACCTGCTCTGCTCCAAACTACTGCAGAGGTGTGCTGCTTCACCCGCCGTGCACAAACACTGTAACATCAGCTGCTCTTCAGTGCTTGTGAATACAAGTGCTTAAAACCCGTCTGAATGCAAGCTTCAGATGTTTGCTGCTTTTACAGGGTTTCTAGTCATTTAGGCCACATTTACACTGCATGGTTCAAGTGACCCAATTCCGATGTTTTTTCCTCCCATGATGTGGCACAGATCGGATATGACCCACGAACTTGTAAGCTGGAAAAAAAGCACATGGATTCTGATATTCTCAGATCGGTTTCAGGCCTCATTCATATGTGGAAATAAATCTGATATGAGTCAGATACGTGCATTTGCACCTGCCATGTAAGCAGACAGATCGGATATTCCCCTGTTAATGTGAGTCATACGTCATTGAAAAAGTGACTTTTTGAAACATCTCGTGGTACAGATATATCTATAACAAATTAAACATCTCTAGTCGACTAGCAGGGTTTTGATTTTGTTCGTTTGCGTTAAATAAGAGGCGATCTGGCGCTAAAATGTGTTGCTTTTGAAAACATCCTGAGTGCTCGTTGCCGCTGTTGTCATTGATGCACGCTTTTAGTCCCATTGTGGAGATTCCCTTTCGTTCCAGTGAAATCACTAAATAAAATGCACACAAACATGCTCTTTCCCAGTCCCTGCTCTTCAAAAAAATCACTGATGAACACATTTGGATTTAATGAGGAAAAAAACCTATACAAGGGTGGATTCGAACCCAGAACTTCTGACATGATTAACAAAAGTTCTTCCACCAGACCATTAGTACTATTGCATTAAAAATGTTACTATGAATTCCATGTCAATAAATTAAACTTAATGTGCTATTGAAATTGATTTCTTGATATCATAATGTTATTTTACGTCCGTTTCGCCAAAGTGTAGTGTAAATGAAGATATCGGATACAGGTCACTTTTAAAAGATGATGTAAGAGTCGTCAAAAAAAATCGTAATTGGCCATCAATACCTGCAGTGTAAATGCGGCCTTAGACACTTTTTTTTCCCCCGTGGAGAAAAGTAGTTTACAAAATCACTAATAGACAAACGTGTACACATTGCAACAAACTGAAACAACAAATCACAGGCAGATTTTTGAGCCAGCATTTTAAACGCAATTTCCAAAAACAAACAAATAAACATTTTTAACCCTTAATAATAAAATATTTGATTGTTGTTGATAAAATAATAGTCTTTAATGTATATTAATGTATTAAACCTTTAATGTATGTGATTTACACTACTGATCTTTACTTTACACTAAGTTTTTTAAATTTTCGCTTGAGATTTAGAGCCAAATTACAAAAATAATATGGGGGTAAAAATTACTTGGAAAAGATAGCAACATCATGATGTAATTTTTACACAGAGATTGGGAAGTCTGTTAGTAAAATCTGTTGACTTAATATCCTTCTAGATTTTGGTTCTTAAACTTTTCTTTTGGAGTGTATGTGGTTCAGTCCCATAAATATGGGGATCTCAGTGTGTCCAAAATTTTCAATTTCACCCATTTTAAATGGTCAAAAACCAAATGTGGGCCACTTTGCATACAGCTGATACTTATAGGGAGGAATGTCTGAAGAACAAATAATGTTATGGCTTATTTCCTCTAACAAAACAATTGCGTAGAACAAATCTGTCAGAGTGCAAAGTGTGTCAGAATGCAAAGTTTATGTGCATATCTTAATATCCTTTTAGATTCTGATTTTTAACAAACTTTTATTCTGGTGCATTCATTTTTAAGGCCCTATATGGTTCAGTTCCAGAGATTCTGGGAACTGAAAGTGTGTACAATTTAACAATTTACTCGTGGGGCCACATTCACTGGAAATGAACCATATAGGCCATATTAAAAATCATGACAACAAAAGAAAAGTTTGTTAAGAAGCAAGATCTAAAAGGATATTAAGATATCTTTAATACTTCTTGAGTTCGGCAATGCAAACTTTGGGGAAAAAAACGCAAGTGTTTTTACCCATATTTGAATGGTCAGCTTTGGCTTATGATGCAATAAAGATTACTAAAGTCAACAGATGTTACAGTAACAGACCTACAGTACCCATTTCTGTGTAAAAAAATAACAGAAATCATTTTTATCCCCAGTAATTTGGCTCCAAATCTCAAGTGAAATTGTCATTTTGACCCCCTACTACAATATAGTGGAATATACATCCATGAGATTTAATATTTTGGCTTTCCTCATTATTTATCTTTGTTTTTCTTCAGAAAAAAATAGCATTATCAATGTCTTTACTGTCATATTTGATAAATTTAATGCATATTTGTGACCCTGGACCACAAAACCAGTCATAAGGGTCAATTTACTGCTTTTGTGCTCCAGGGTCACATTTGTTGAATGTGTTTAATATATGTTTTTGTTGCTGTTCTGTGTAAGGTGTCAGTGGCAGGTGGAGGCTAATGGTGCGATCTCTCCTGCCCTCACGCCGTCTCCGTCTCCTCTGCCTCTCACCATTGATGAGGAGCGAGAGTTCACCTATCCTTCAGACGTCCTCATGCCGGGGGCTTGCTGTGAGCTCCCCCGCATCCACTTACCCCCGGGCATTATGGGCCGCCTGAGGGAGCTGTCTGGGAGAGGCCGGCCTCAGTTTCGCCCCAGCATCAAGTGAGCACATGATATGGAGACTACATATGAGGGGAATGTAACTTAATGATAGCAGAACATTTAATTTGTAGAGGACTAGAAACCCCACTTCCAAAAGGAAGGAATCAGTTATCTGTTTATTGATTCAAAAGTAAAAATATAAATTAAACACTTTACAAACTTGCCTAATATATTGACATATAAAAAAATAAAAAATAGTTTGAAACATGTTGTTAAACAATAAATAAGTACATATTTCATTGGTTGCTTCCATATGATCAAATGCAAAATTTAATATTCAGTAAAGTTGAATTTGAAGATGGACAAAGAAACGTTAAATAAATAATATTAAACAATATTATATATTAAATTGGATAATATGTAATATATATAATTGTATTGTTATACTACAAATTTAAACATATAATCAACAATGTTTAATACATCAGCAACATTTTACAACAAGGTCCTATTTGTTAAGATTAGTTAATCGTTTAGCTAACATGAACTAACAATTTTTTTGATATATTTACAAATATGCATATATATATATATAATTAGTGCTGTAAAACGATTAATCACGATTAATCACACCCAAAATAAAAGTTTTTGTTTGCGTAATATATGTGTGTGTGTGTACTGTATATTTATGTATATATAAATACACACACATGCATGTATATATTTAAGAAAAATTGTATGTTTATATATTAAATAACATATAAGTTATATTAATATAAATATACTGTATGCATGTAAATACATGTAAATATTTTCAAAATATATACTGCATGTTTGGTTTCAAAGAAGTAAATTCTATTCTATTCTATTCTATTCTATTCTATTCTATTCTATTCTAACCTCCTTTAAGGCAAACCACAAAATTCTCAATTATTACTTCAGAGACATAGAATAATTATATTCAGTAATCTTATACTGCTATGAAATATGTATTGTGACAAGTGTTACACAAATAAATTGAAAAACGAGAAACATGAATAATACCTTCTTAATTGTCTCTCAGAGAGGTGATGCGTCCTGATGTGATGGAGGAAGTGATCGTGTCGTGTGTCGTAAAGCACCTGGGTCTGGTGGATGCGCTGCAGTCGCTGGTGAACTTCTCAGATGCATGCTGTGTGATGCTGTTATTATCTCATATGCATGCTGTGTGATGCTGTTATTGTATGCTGCGTCTGTGTTTGTTTCAGAGTGTAGCTGAACTGGAGCAGAAATGGCAGAATGAAGCAGAAGAAGCTCAGCAGGGCAAACTGGAGAACAACTCTCCCTTCTTCCACGACTATCACTTCTTTGAGGTCGGTAATCTGAGACATATAATTGGTTATTATCTCATATGCATGCTGTGTGATGCTGTTATTATCTCATATGCATGCTGTGTGATGCTGTTATTATCTCATATGCATGCTGTGTGATGCTGTTATTATCTCATATGCATGCTGTGTGATGCTGTTATTATCTCATATGCATGCTGTGTGATGCTGTTATTATCTCATATGCATGCTGTGTGATGCTGTTATTGTATGCTGCGTCTGTGTTTGTTTCAGAGTGTAGCTGAACTGGAGCAGAAATGGCAGAATGAAGCAGAAGAAGCTCAGCAGGGCAAACTGGAGAACAACTCTCCCTTCTTCCACGACTATCACTTCTTTGAGGTCGGTAATCTGAGACATATAATTGTTATCCTTTGTGAAAAGAAGTACACTTGGCATGGTTTCAAAAAGAGTACTTATGGAATAATATACTTTAAAAGTGTGCAATAAATGTAATGTTTTTAGACACTTAATTGCATGTTAATTGCAATTAAATTAAAATGTATTGTAGTTTAAATTTATATTAGATGCAATTAGCTGAACTTAAGAGTGATTTTTGACCTCTTTATATGTAATTACTTCTATTGTCTTTGAAATATGGTTAAGTACTGTTCAATGTACTGACAAACATTTATGATAAACGAAAATATACTTTGATGTCATTTATATTGCAACTTGTGTCTCGTGTATTTAAATATAGTTTTGTAATTTCACATTTGTTATGCTGAAGTTGAAATTTAGTGCATTTAAAATACATTAATGCTAAATGTAATAGCGAATCACACACTACAGTTAAAATTACTATTAAAAAGTACTTTCCATATGCTTTAGTATGTAAGTCAACACATCAAAATAAGTGTAACTTCTTTACAGCGTGACAAAAGATTATTGAAACATAATGATTTAAAATGTACTTTAAAGAAACTTATTTTTTGACATTAATTACAAAGGTCACTTTCTAAAAGTGTACATAGAAACATAATCATGAAAGTGTCTCTCTTTAAGTCACTTAAGTGGCCTTTTATTTCATTAGTGCAGTATCTGACCCTGGAGCACAAAACCAGTCATAAGGGTACATTTTTTTTTTTTAATTGAGATGTATGCATGTATCAAAGCTGAATAAATAAGCTTTCCATTGATGTATGGACAATATTTGGCAGAGATACAACTATTTGAAAATCCCCTCTTTTTTTTTTGGCTGAGATACAACTATTTGAAAATCTGGAATCTGAGGGTGCCTTTAAAGTTGTCCAAATGAAGTCCTTAGCAATGCATATTACTAATCAAAAATGAAGTTTTGATATATTTACGGTAGGAAATTTACTAAATATCTTCATGGAACATGATCTTTACTTAATATCCTAATGATTTTTGGCATAAAAGAAAAATGGATAATTTTGACCCATACAATGTATTGTTGGCTATTGCTACAAATATACCCCAGCGACTTAAGACTGCTTTTGTGCTCCAGGGTCACATATGATCTGCAACTACAGCTTTCAAAAATATACTTCTAAGATTTAAAGTACCTTACAAGTGCACATTAGCCGCTTTTCCACTGTCGAGCCAGTCCTTTCAACGGGCTGGTGGGGCTAATAGCCTCAGACCTGTAGCACCGAGCCCAAAATTACGCTGCATTTCCACCGTTGGGCCAGAAGCTCCGCAGCGCTTCACTAAAACCTGCCCTTTACACGCCTGTCTGGAGCAACGTCACGCAACCCCATCATTTCACCAACAAAGAGAAGTTATCATAAAACTAATCAGAAATAAATCACTGGAGCTAGCGCAATCACAGAGCGAACGTAGGGATTCAACCCTCTACGCACACCTTGGCAATATAATCGCCATTGGCTAGTAAATTTTTTTGTTTACTCGCCAGACTGATATACTATTTTATACACACACACAGACACAGACACACACACACAAACACACACACACACACACACACACACACACACACACACA